GCGCGCTTCCGCCGCCACAGCTTCGCACGCGAAAAGGCGCCGCAGGCTGCTAACCGCGCCTCACTGTCGAACGCCAGCTCCTCCGCTAGAGGCGCTACGCGCGTGTTTCAAAGCGCCCTCTATAGTTCTCGCATGGAGCGTATAACCAGATTTGGAAGATAAAAATTTCAGCACTGTTAGAGACTTTTTAGTGTTGTGTCGTTTACCCGCAGTCTCGGGGTTTTTTCAACCATGTGCAATGTACACCAGCTCGTTTGCGCCCTTACATTTTGGAAAGGCTAAAAGTTTTTTAAACGCTGTAATCTAAGAAATCAAAGCAAAAGTCGCAAGAAATTAAGTTTTTGGAAATAAAGTTGAAATCGCTGGCATAGAGCTTAAATGCATAAGTCATACATTAAACTTTACAGTGTCTTCTTCAAGTATTTTATGTTGTAGGAATTCTCTTTTTTGCGTTCATCGGAAACCGTTTTAGTCAAGTATTTTACTTTCATTTCCTTAGCAGCGGGATAACATATTCTAGGCGCACCACTCATGTTTGCTGTATACTGTGGGTATGGTGCCTGGAGCCCGTCTCTGACTGGTGTTTTTAAAGTCCTATCCCGCCCACAGATTAAAAGTGGTCACGAAGTGGCAGCAAATGACGTCACAGAAGCCGGAGTGTCATGCTGTTGCCTGTCGCGATCCTGGCGGTTGGTCGTAGAAATGCTGGCGAAAAGCACGAGCGAACGCGAGTGTCGCTGTCGTCACGGAGTCCCAGGCGTCCCAACTTCCTGCTGCCGTAGCTTCCGTGGACTGTCGAAGTGAAGAGCGACCTGCAGCAGAAGAGGCGTCTGCCACATACAGCACGGATGCTGGGACACCGCCAGGGTCGCGACCGGCGACAGCATGACACTTCTATGACGTCATCAGGTGGAAATTGAGGGACCACTTTTTTTGGACGCGGTAAGCACACCAGTTGGAGACACGTTCCAGGTACGGGTTAAAGACGAGGCAGAGGGCACGTGACAGGCGGTCGGTGGAGAAGACACGAGCTGGCGCGAGACAGTGCGGGCTGAGCGAGGCTGGAGCTGGGCAGGAACGATGAAGCCGGGCTTCCTGAGCTGGCTGGCGAACCCTGGAGCGGTCCACCAGCGAGGTTTGAAGTCCGGACCGGTGGAAATGACGAGTCCTGGCCATCTGGCCTAGGACACGACGATCCCGGGGTGGTTCCGCAGCAAGACTCGGGCAGTGATAGCCTGGGACAGCCAGCCTACGCAGCGCTGGCGTGGAAAGGGTGATCCGGAGGCCTGGACACTGACTCCGACTGCGAGCTCTGATCGACGGGCGACAACAAGGGTCGGCGGGCCCGGACTGCCGGCTTTCGATGACGGGCAACCGGGAGGTACAGTAAACCCATTCGCTCTCTTTTCGTGGTGTTACGTCACTCCCTGGGTGACGAGCGAAACACATAGCGATCGGGCAGCGATTATTAGTATAGAGAGTATTCACTGGCGGCCATAGCTGTGTGCGCGAACGCTGAGCGCGTGCTGATGGCGAGCTTCCACAGTGTTTTTGTCAACGTGCAGTCCGCACCATCAAGATTGCCGGTCTTAGCAGGCTATTAATGTGAGCTCGTTCTGAGCAGGCGCTCTAAACAGCACCCAACAATATGGCGTCCAGTGAATACTCACTATAGCGACCTCCGTAAAGAGCCCTACAATACAAATATCTTGGTTGAAAAATAATTACCATTTTCCTCCAAGTGCTATTTCTCTTGAGTATATTATATGTATAAAATAATTGTATTTTTACTTAGTTGCCTCACACAAAACAAGTTGTCACTTTCAGAGTTCACATTAGGTATAGTGCTTTTTGTGATTCTTAGACAGTCTGAAAGGGAAAAAAGATGTACATTCGCCGATACAGGCACCCTATGGGCTTCCCTTCAGTCTCGTTGCTCTAGTTCAGCAGTGTTGAGGTAGGAAAGTTGATAATAATCTATAACTTTTTTTTATTGTTTTGCTTTATAGAAGTGAGAGATAGTGGTAAGCAAGCAGTTTAAATCTGTTTCTGAACATCGCCTCTTCCCTTGAGCAGGATGGCTACCCAAGTTAAGAAAACCAACATAGCAAAATACGATAACAACACAAGGTTATGCATAAACCATGCACTACTATTAGCGCCTGACAACTGTACTACAGTGTATCGTTCTCAAGTGTGCCACAGACTGATGCAAAATAGTTCAGAAAATATTCGAATGCTTATAAAGTTTACTATTGTAATCTGAAATTTGATGGAAATAGAAGGTAGGCTCGAGCTTCGAACAGTACTAAAAAGATAGGAAGGACTTAGGTATATTCTCGTGATATTCCCGTATTTCAACAACAACCATGGAAGAACAACACCATCCACTTCGTTTCGTGCATGCCAGACCGCTCTTTCCTGATGACAGAAGTAGTTTTTTTTGTAGATATTGAAGTCAAGGCAGCTATTGCTCACGGTGCCGCTGTGGCTCTTTTGCATCGAGCAAGTAACTAATGACACGCTGAAACTAGGGATGTCGCGAACCACCCTAGGTTCGATTTCGAAAGGTTTCGATATTTGCGAAGCGAACTGAGGTTCGATTTCGAAAAATTTCGATATTTTCGTACCGACCGAGGTTCGATTTCGAAAAATTCGCAACTTTTGTCCACAGCGGAGTTTCGAATTCGAAAAGTTCGAAGCTTTCACGGTTTCTAAAATTTCGAATTCGAATATTTCGAATATTTTTTTACTTCAGGTTCGATAAATTCGAAGATTTCGAAATTCTTTGTAAAAAAGATTCGAAAACTTCGAACGCTTCGAATTTTTATAGACATGAAGTTCGAACAATTCGAAGATTTCGAATTTCTTTTTCCATAAAGTTCGAAAAGTTCGAAGGTTTCGATTCTCTTTTAACGCTAAATTAAAAAAAAAAAAATTTCGAAGAATTTGAATTACTTTCTAATCCAAGTTTTCACAGTTCGAAGTCCGATTTTCAAGTTTTTCCACAGTTTCAGTTTCAAATAACGTTTTCACGACTCACTGGTTTTCACAAAATCAAGTTTAGAAAAGTTAGGGTGTGATATCTAGATTCTGCGAAGTTGGTCAGGCAATTAAATGAGACGACTAGTGTCCCGGATGTGCTAGAATATTTGCCAGTGCAGAATTGTGACCGCCAGCCCCGTGGGGGGGGGGGGGGGGGGTCTTTAACCTGCATCAAGCAGTAGTGATTGCACGAACACACTGTTTTACGAGACTCTTCCAGTTCGAAACGGCCAGGGGCGAGCAGGAGGTTGAGGCTCAGAAAAACCGTGAAGCGACCTGGCAAACTAGCTCGCCACCCCTTGCACGCTGGTAGTAATCCGATCCGGTGAAGTTTATAATTGTCCTGGAGGTTTATTTTCTGGGACGGAGGAATCGCCTCGCGAAAAGCACAAAAGCCGACACAACTCGAGGTCGAGGAGCGTTCTACCATACAAGTGGCGTCGGAAGAGGAAAAACGGGGGGAAAGAGGGTAGCGGGGGGGGGGGGGGGGGTGGGGGGGGGGGGAGGGAGGGGTTTCAGTTTCCTTCTTCCCCTTGCAGGTATTTCGGACTGTTAAAGAAAACAATACGGGGAAAGAGGGCGTGGTTGAGCTTATTTTAATCTGAAATTATTTATGCATATGTATAGCTAATGTCGCTCTTCACTGCATAAAAGGTTGCGTAGATGGTCATTGTTAGAAACTCGTTGTCAGAAGGCACTGCTCGTCACATGCTTAGTGGTTCGGAAGTTAAAAGCTGTCTTTTCGACCTAAACACCTGTGCCGATAGTAACAAAAAAAAAAAAAAGAATAAATGCGGGAATAAAAAGCAGGAGAAAAAAAAAACTATCAAGAATTCGTCGGAAGTGTTCTATTCTTGCATATTCAGAGGTTCAGAACTTCGAAACAAGTTTCTTTTACCAAAGTGTGTACAGGCTAAAAGAAACACGTCCCAGGAACGTGAAGCGAAAAAAAAAAAAAAAGTTTTCTTTTAATGACGTGCTGAACTTGAACACTACTAGAAATCTTCTCCCATGAGTTAATTTATTCCTTAACGTGAAAAAACAAGAAATATATTATTTTGTATTCTGCAGATGGCAATGATATGTACTGTCTGTGGTGTTAATTTAAATGCGATACCTCAAACAACTTAGACGAAAATAAATATCAAGTTTAGGTCATAATTGCATGCAGATACATGTTTGGACATTTCTTCGAAACTCACGTTGAATAACAATAATCACATCTTAAAACGGCACTTACCTAGGCTATACATAGATCATTCTTAAAAAAGTATAACTTATCTACCATGAATAGCTCCGGCTGCAGCGTGCTTCAAATCTGGCACAAACGATAATCGTCAAAAACCCGTCGTCCTTCCTCGCCCCTTCGGGGATTTATTTCTTTAAACCTAAGCATGCCAGAACATTGAAATAAACGACATTGTCTTTCGAAAGGAACGCATCACCACGTGTAAAAGTTCGAGAAAAAAAAATTACGAATGTACCCCACTACTTGAAATCAAATGAAACCGTCAGCCGGTCTTTCGAAGTTCGACGAACGTCGAACTTTTACCCTAAAAGTCGAAGTTTGTCGAACTTCTGACTTTTCAGAGTTCGAAAGTTCGAAACTTTTCGAATTCTCTTGATAAATAAGGTCGAAAGTTCGAAATTCATCGAATTTTTTGGTCAGTCAAGTTCGAAAGTTCGACAAGCATCGAACCTTGCAGCGCAATAAATTCGAAAGTTCGAAAAAGATCGAATTTTTTAGCGTAATAAGTTCGACGGTTCGAAAAGCGTCGAACTTCTTAGCTTAACAAGTTCGAAAATTCGACCTCCGTCGAATTTTACGATATAGACAATTCGAAAAATCGAAATCTTTCGAACCTTTCGAACCGCTTGATTCGATCATCGAAACTTCGATTCGAAAAAAGTTCGCGGCATCCCTAGCTGAAACACATTACATGACCTTACGGTAGGCTTCACTGGCAGATGCACCCATTTTGCTAAAAGTACACAAATTGTGCTACATAAACACACCATGGCTGAACTTTACTGACTTAATCGTTCCACGGATTCAGTGGAGGTCCAACAGACCGTGGTGAACATATCTTGTTTGGGCTCTTCGGCCTGGGCATTGCAGTAACCCACATCACACCAATGCAGATTAATAGTGCACCTTGTAGTCGATACAGGTTGTCGTAGGATCCTGTTTGGTCTCGAAAATAACCTGGAATAATATGACAGGGTATAAATACGCATGCGTGCAAGGTATAGTTATTATCTAATATAAGTCGCAGAAGTTCTAGCTTTATTGGCTCAACGTCATCCAACACGAAATCGTAGCTTCAGCCCATGATGAAGTGGTTCTTTAATAAATGCAAACTTGCCAAAAGACGCCTCATTTGGGGACGTTATTTGGCACTGAAGCACTAACAACCGTTGGCTATGAAACAAAAAGCGATGAGCCAGCCAACGTGGCGACTTTGGCTTCCGCTCCCCTGCAGATATTTCACCTAAAACATATTAAAACCCAGAATCATGACAGGACTGACAGGCCTGTCACGACTTTATGCAAACAGTGGATCTTGCAGCTATTTCCGCTTTAAACAGGGGTTTTGAAACTTCAATATACGCTTCACTTCTCAAAGTTATAGATTCTCTGTTCTGGTTTTGAAGGCTGCTCTTATTTAATCTAGCTGCATAGAATCGCGTTCACGGAGGTATTATATATAAATAAATAAATAAATATATATATATATATATATATATATATATAGTTCTTGCAGTTTGATGTCTAAGTAAATTAAAATATACCATGCTTAAGTAGTTCCCATGTTGTTTTTTTCTGAACCGTAGAGAGCGCTAGCTTGTTTAATTGCATTTCACTGTCCTTGTAGCAGTGCGCGGCTATAAATAATTCAAAGCACCAACCTTTCTTCAGATTACACAGAACTCCAATCAATTGTTTAGAACTGAGTGGCCTTGTGATAATACAAATGAAGTTACTAATACGGAGTGCCACAATTTATGGGACTAGATGGGCTTATGTCTCAATGCACCGTAAGCTCCTTCGTGAGTAACCATTTATTGTAGCATAACTGCATACAACTTTGTTTCACAAAGAGGATATAATTTACGATGTGTTTAAAATTTCTTGACTCAGATGTGTTGGTTTTGTCAGTTTGCTTAGGAGGAATGTCCACGTGCCACTGAGCAAGCTTACCTATAAGGGCGGGAGCAGCCAGCATTATAGGAGCTCTCACAGTTCCAATTGTGCCATGAACTAATAAAAGTCTCTCCAATTCAATGTAGTCAGGAACAAGGACATCGTGCATGATGACACCACAGCCTATGAAGATTGATATCAACAGACATATCACAACTACCTGCCATAATGAGGACACAAAAGGAGCAATTAACAATGTTATACCCATCAAAATTTGGTTGAGGGTAAGCAAGTAACGTCGGGGTAGCTTGACAAGGTCCGCAAGTACTGGAAGACATAGGCGTCCCACGATGTCAGTTAATGCTTGGAAGGATGTGAGCCACACCGCTTGAGCATGGGTGCTTCCTTTGTCGACGGCGAAGTCGAGCATGGTGGTGAGAAGGATACTGTCGATGAATGTTGTGGCCGCGGCAGATAATACGATCACGTAGAACGAAGGTGTACGCAGAAGTATCAGTATGTCTTGTCTGTAAGTGGTGACCGCTCTGTCAGCCGCCTCTACGATTGCATCGTCATGGGACTGCGCGTCAGCTTCACCCACATTCGCGGAGTTTTCTGACGGCTCCGAGTGGGCGACTTGGTCGATTTTCTTGTGTTTGTACCAGGGCGGAATCTTCAGCAAATATGTGAGCGGGCTTAGGTGCAGTAATATGGCACCCACAATTAGAAATGCATTTCGCAATCCGTACTCTTCGTCTAGAAGCTCTAGAAGCTTCGTGAAAACGAAGGCTGATGCGGTCATGCCAACTGCTGACAGTCCCAGGGCGGTTGGCCTCAATCGATCGAAGTACATGACAATGAAGACTTGAAGTAATACAAAGATAATTCCAACTCCAACACCTGAAAAAAGAATATGCGAAATACGACGGTATTTAATAAAGTATGCGAACGAAACGGCTGTTAAAAGCCGCTGAACGTAATACATTAATATGACGATACGACAGAATGCAGTTTTTGTGGAAGAATATGAGTGACATATTAAAATATTTTCAGTTTTTACAATGAGACCTGTTTAATAAACTGACCCACTAACTTTGGTGTCTTAGTTTAGTGGTTCCTGGGATAAAAATAAGACTTTACTTGAGTGGAGTTCATTAACAGGAAACATGTATTTTTCTCAGATTTCAACGGGTGTTTTTAATGTGCAACAAACGACAACAATGCTCTTTATAAAGTTTAGCTTAGCACGACGCAAACGATTGGGAGGGAGACCTCCATGAAATGAATATGGTTCTCATAAACACCAACGACTGATATAACTTAGATACTCACTATGAATAACTCCTAAGGTGAGGGTAACCACAATCATGCTTTTTGCACATACAGATGTCATTGCCCCCAACCACGCCAGCACACTTCCAGCAATCGTGATAGACGTGATAGAAAACTTCTTTTGCAGCGCCGCCACAAACAAACCTATAGGGAATGCAAAATTCACGCAGGTTGTAACAATCACTCCATACATTCCATACAGTGATAAAATAGATCACTGCTCCTAAATTTTAGAACCGGTATATATCTGTAAATCATCATCATAAAGCATTGACAGTGGTATCCGACTAAACCAGAAAATTCGCTGTTATGGCAGGGTTCCCTAGATAATTTTGGGGACCCTGTCTCTATCATTTAAATATACTAAGCCCCTGATAGCGTTCGCGCACCTTCAACGCTCATGAAAATTGTGCACGAGCAGACCACGGTTTACACTACTAAAGGTAGCAGATATAATGTGTTCAGCCTCGATCCCAATGAATTCATGTACAATCTATTGGCAGTTACTTACAACCACCTTGAAACAAATTGTGCTTTGTTTTGTTCCGATGAAGCCAGCTTTTGTCTCGCTTTCCTGATGCTACAAGCTTACATGAACTTATTTATAAATGGAGCCACTTGCACGAGATCTTTTGTGGAAATAGCCCTGTAAAATGATTTCTACAGTGACAGCTGATAGTAGCCCCCTCCCTTATTTCGTGACGGCGTGAGCGCAAACGCCGTCAGTTTCCCTGCGAAATTTAACGGAAAAATCGACGTCACATTATTTATGCACCAATCCAGTTTCCCTGCCACATTTGGCGAAAAAATTAATGTCAGATTACCTGACGTCACGCGAGCTAGAGAAAACTTCAGCTTCCTCGCTAAATTTAGTAAGAACAATTGGCGTCACGTGGCCTATGAACCAATTCTGTTTCCCCGCTTAATTTAGCGGAGAAATCGACGTCATGTGAGTATGCACCAATTCAATTTCCTCGCTGAATTTTGCGGAAAAGTCGGTGTTTTTTTTAAATATAAAGTCAACACAATATTATAGCACAAACGGCGTAAATTGACGTATACTTGCATACAGACGCTGTTTAATAGCCCATAAACCTGACACAAAGCATAGCACAAGGGTGTCTGCGTAATCAAACGAGAGTGAGCGCGTAGGCAAAATATCTAGATGTACGTTATATCGCGAAAGAACGTCGGCGCTGTTTCCGTGCGGCTATATTCATATGTAGCGTTAACAATAAGTTTTCTTAAATTATAATTATTTATTGAAACCGATGTTCGTGCCCGTCGCGACCGGTGTTCATACACTTAAAAAAAAACACCTGTCTACTCCCAACCTCAAACCTCGGAGTTCCAATCAATGCCATCTACGGAGGGACATTGGGGAATGACGTGGCAGAAAAAAATGTTAGACTTAAAGAAAACATTTGTGATGTCTTACAAAGCGCATTATTGTAACTTTCAAGGTTCGACATACTCTTGGCGTCGTTATTCGCGAGTTACCACAGTAGATTGGAGTGATGTTGGGTCTATGAGGGTTTTGCTGAAAAGTTGATGTTATTTTTTGAGCTGTAACGTTACCTATCATATGTGCTTCTCGCAATCTGACTCTTGAAGCTAGTGGTGTATGTGAACGGTCGCTGCAGATTAGCTTCACGGCGTCGACAATGTCGTTGCCTCTCCTTACGTCACGAATAGCGCGTGCTACTGTGCACCACATGTTTATCTGCAAGTTTGTATACTTTTGCCAATGGACGTACTCGATTTTAATAAACTACGGCAAATTGGCGCAAGGCCTCGACTTTGTAACGGCATGATGTAGACAACATTTGGCATCCGTTTCGTTTTTCAGCTATGCGCATAAAATGTGAATGGCCACTTCATGCGAGGAGCATTACAGTTCTCATGATGGCCACGATTCACAAGGCTACCTTAGTCCTGATAGTCACTCATTGTTGATCTAAGGGAAAACAAAAGCAAAATAAAAACCGCGAGATATTTTCTGCATAGAAGTTTTACTCTATATTAATTCACCTCATTCATACGTGAGACGCTAAACATTGTTTCGGATTAGAAAGCCCTTCAAAATATAGGTGTGCTTTTTTTCTGCAACCAGCCATGTTAGTTCTGTAACGTCCAGTTACGACAAGTGTTGCACAGAGAAAAGTGAAGAAATACGGCACTTCTTGATTCCTAATAAGTGAACAGTTGATATGCGTACATCATGTTGGAAATAAAATATTGTTTTACCGTTAAACATAACAAATAACAGTTAGCCCCCAAAACTGACGTCATTTCCGGGGGTTCACAGTGATCACCTTGCTCCGCGAGCGTCATAGCCTTAATGAATTAAAACATTTTCCGCATAAGAATACTGCAGGGGGATACGTTTAGTCATTGTTTCTCAAATGGGGGTCCGCGGACTTTTGGGGTCCGCGAAGGCAATCTAGGGGTCCACGAAGCCCTGCCTCATCAGTGAAACCCGGCAAATAAAAGTCATATTTTTTTCACATCGAAAGAAATGTTTAAATTTTCGGCCGAGTTTTCTTTTCTGTATGCCAATACGAGAAGTCTACTTAAGACTATCCCTTAGTTATATCCATTTTTATATCATTATCATATTTAACCTATACCTTTTCTCTCCCGTCACCACGAACGGGGTCCTCCATCTCCACTGATCCACAAGGGGTCCGCGAAACATCAATGGTTGAGAACCACTGCGTTTAGTCATACAAGCGACATAATATTTAGGAATAGGGAAACAGAGACTTAGTTTGATATGTTTAATTATTGCACTTCCCTGATACTTGTGCTAACAGAGATCAGTCACTATACGGTTCGAGCGACTAATAATATTAAGAGCACAAAAAAAAACAAAACGGTATGTGTGTTTTGACACTTAGCGTTTCCGGTCTATCTTGTTTGTATATACTTTCTTATTTTAATGCCATCAAAATTGATTTTAAGTTCCTTCCGAGACACTCCTCATAATATTACTTTTTTTTAAATATACCAAAAGCCCATATTCAGACACAGACAAATCCGTAATCTCCCCTGGAAATCTTAGGCCCAGATTAAAGAGACTTGTTACTGGAAAAAAAAAGAAATACAAACAGGCTAATTTGATTTGTCCCTGAAAAATCTTTCAGTAAAAGAAGTAGCACTGGAAACAGGCCTGCATTTCAAATTTCTATTTCACCAAAGTAGACAGAGGAGAAGCTAGATTTATTTCCCAAATTTGAAAGTTTCTACAAAGACTATACACTGATTTATTAACTTGGGAAACGAGATGTCATTTCACCGGAACTCACCAGTCATGCCTGACAAACCCGTCATAAGGCTCTGCGGCCACGAAGCACTCTCTCTATCCACGCCGAATTCATTCATAAAGGCAACGTACTGGTACCCTGCAGTTCTGAAGATCGCCATGCCGACGAACGAAATTGCGGTTATCAGTAGAATCACGTGCCAACAGGTATCCAGTCCGATCTTTTTTCGCTCGGAAACTCTCGCAACTTCTGGGTTTTGATGAGGCATCTCTTCTGAACCTGGGAGTGTAAAAAAAAAATGAAATTGTTATTTTAGGTCAGTCACTCAATAGACATCTGATATTTTGATCGCCACGCATACATGCACGGGAATATACATAGCTCTATTCATTTAAGCAATTCACGGCAATCCCAAAGTTACCCGGGACATTGTGGTTTCAATTCACGTCTACAAAAGTCGTCGTCTTCTTAATTAAGCAAAGAATAATCCACAAATTTGTTTTACTCAGGTGCAGAAAGCATTTAGGACGGATCAAATGACCAACGAGTTTGACCAGGCTTGGAAATGTTATAGAGCATTTTTTGTTACCTACGTGCACGTTTATGTTCAAAATGAGAACCGTTAAGACAGTATATATCAGAAATGCCATCGAGAAGCTAATTCAGCACTGGACTTGCGAAGCTGGACCGTTTAAATGAAACCTTAATTCTCCTGGTGTAGCGAAAGAAATATCTATACATTTTTTGAAATTGTATCGATTGCACATAAAATGTTGAAAGGTCCATCTATTGCCTGTTATGATTCCCATACGAATAATCTTCCTGAAGACCTGAAGGCGTTTGCATTCTTTACATCTTTATAATTCTAAATTGAATGTTACTTCAAAACAAAAAAGGCAAATCTTATTAAAATGGCTCAAAATTAAAGATAAATTAAGCCAGTGGCATGTTTTATTAGGGGATCACTGGCGGTCAGACCAGGTACTGCGTTCAACTTTTTCAATTTATCAGAGATTTATGCCCACTGACATCATAACAAGTACGGGAAGCGGAAAATTTTCTTCAGGCTTCTTGCTTTGTGATTTGTTTTTACCCGTTTTTAGTGGCTGATGCTCTAATCTCATTGGCTACGGAGTGACCAAGCGTGAAAACACACATTAGCAGTATGGGCGCCTCGACTTTTTGCTGTGAGGGAGGGGCTCTGACGCGGACACTACGCCAAATATACACTCTCAACCTCGTTCCCCAATTGTTTCAGTTATAAAAAAAAAGTAGTTCCGCTTAATTACCAGGAACCCCGTTCCACATACATCGTAGTTTAAATAGATCACATTTTTATATAATTTTGGATGCTTTATAGTTTACGTATATACAAAACAGAGTTTCAGATAATTCATAATTGTGAACAATACATGTAAATATAACACTCCCTGGAAGTTGAACTGGAGCAGATTGGTGCGTAAGTGGAACAGGGTAAGTGGAACGGTTCGTGAGTGAAAGGACGATCTGCGTAGCCCTACTATGTATTCCAGATGAAGCCAGCAAAAATAAAGGCAACGGAACTGGCGTTCCCCATGTAATTCCCGATCCACATAAGCATTTCACCTGTTCCAGAAAAAAAAATATACAGAGCGTTAATTTAACTGGAACCCACTTGGAACCAGATGAAGAGTGTAGCAAAGTTCATCAACGCACCACGTTACGAATGTCTCAATATCCGTCACGCCCTTCAGTGTCTATCCTTCCAGGGCTTGCCGAAACGGTGCATCAT